GCTTAAAAAGGAGAGGAAAGAATGACAGAATAAGCTTGGATTTACCCAAGTGAGTGACTCTGGGTGGCAGAATACCAAGCACTGTCAGTTTTTGCACTTTGGCAGCAGTCTTTTTCTTACCTGTGAAACTGATACTATGAAATTAATTGTGAATGGTCAGCAGCTCTTCAGAGGTACAGTGAGCACAACCTAGCAGAGGAACAGAAAGAGGGACGCAAAAAAGAATTAAGAAGTAGAAGGGTCAAAGGAAGCATGAACAGCAAATGTTTTGGAAGTCTTACTGTTCCAGGGAAATTCGCTCCAAACTGCTTTAGCTACATTTAGTATAGTTTTCTCCTGTAGGGGAACAGTGTTGACACTTGTGCCCGCAGATGCCGGTACAATTTAGAAACACGGTGCTGGTGTAATTTAGAAGCATTAATCATTGTATTTGATATGTAAAATATTGCTTGAGAGACAGGGAAATTAATCTATCCTCCCTCTGCAGTGTAGGTTGGGTTCAAATCAGCAGATGAGGTTTAAGGCAGATGTTTGGATGGTGAAGCACTAAACCCAATGACCCGTGATGGTTGTGGAGCAGGCTGCATCAGTGAGTGACTTCTACTTTTTTTGAGTTGTAGACCCTTTCTATGAGTTTGCCATGAGGGCATGCCCTTTACCGTCAGGAAGACCAACAACAGACTTGCTTTTTGAAGTTACTATCCCCTGAGCGTTACAGTCCCTGAACCACAAAAACCACTGGTGCAGATTTTCTATGACTCAGTGCTTCCTTTGAAGAGATGGTAAGTAGGGGCAGAAGCTCCATTTAATGCCTGAGTAGCATTGCTGCAGCTGAGCTGCTCTGACTTGTGCAAGTACATGAGTTTTGTTGAAGCAGAATTTGGCTTTAAATGACCTGTGAGTGGTGCAGGATGCCTGTGTGAGAACTGATAGGGAACCTGGCTGTGCTTCTGCTTTAACCCATATCATCTTCCCCTGCAAAAGAGTTGTAGTGAAGGAGCTTGAGATCATATCTTTGGTAATAATAAATTAGAATTTTGTACAGAAATCTGCTTGAGTCTCTCTGGGGCAAGACTCGACGGTAAGCTGTGGCCTGACCAGTATAGATCACAGATTACACAGGGGTTGAAATCGTAGAGGGGGAGGAAAAAACCTTACTGTGTGTGGCAGCCAAGTTTGTGTTTGCCGAGAGCTTTGAATCCCAAATTGAAGGGCACTGACATCATGCTGCAGAAACACTAGGATGGTTATTCCAGTCTGGAAGCCGTTTCAGTGTAGGAGTATGGCCGTGTTTCCCTCTGTCATTTGCTTTCATTTCTCTTGGGCTTTTATATTTTATTACTAGCTTGGTATCTTCCCTATCCATCAGTCTGGTGCATCTCATTAAGCAACTTTTCTTGATTGACTAATGAGATGCTATTTTTGGCAATGTTTTTATCACTGCCTTTTATTGCTGAGCTACATTTTCTGCATTTTTGTTTGTTATTCTTTAGTGGTTCCTCTATTGCTACTGTATTTGCTGTTACATGGCCATCACCTCACTGGGATTTCTTTCATCAGTTGTTACTGCTTTCTCCTGTCGTTTCTTAGCCCACTCCTTCACATACATGGGTGTGTGACATTTGCTCTCTTCCCCCCTTTATTCAGGTTTGTTCTACCATTTTTTAGAGTCCTTTTCTCATCTTCCTCCTTTCTCATCTTCCTGCTATGTCACTCTCCTCATTTGCCTAAGACTCCTTTCAAATAAACAAAAAAATAGAGAGCAAAAACATATCCAGAGGGAGATTCATCCTACCTTAAGATAGCTGTCTAGGCTAGGCAGGATGTGTCATGTCAGTAGGTTCCTGTCACCCACTGTTAACTGTAAAAGTCCAGCTAGGATAGACCAGATGGGTGACTTAGAGAGTTAAGTGTAAGTAAGAGGAATACCATTCATGTAAGCTGCCAGGACTTCAAAAGCTGAGTATTAAGACAACATGTGCTACCACGCATTAAAATGACAGATAGAAGAATAGTTCAGGAAGCTGTTTGTAAGTTCTAGGATTTTGGCAGTTATTTAACCCACAGCAATAAAGCTACTTAGAATTAACATGGTTTTGGATCACCTTTGTGTGTCCCTGTGATTAGCAACATCAAATTCCAGACACAAGCTGGCCTTTTAATCCAAATAATAGCTTTCTCCCCATCATCCATAAATACAGTGTTACGTTAACTCAGTACGTTAACTCAGTAATGCTGTTTTCAGAAGATTAAAAGAAACGTTCCTACTCTCATCTGCCTAGCATATCCTGAGGCTGTCAAGTATTTCAGTGTTAGCATAAATGTGGGTCTAGCTGCGCTTTCTCCATTTTTACTGTAAAGGATTGCTGTATTCTTGACACCTGCTTATTTCATTCTCTAAAAATGTCACCTGTGAGAATAAAGAAAGCAACCCAAGGACAAAATAAAGAGCTCTGTAAAGGGTTGGTTACTTCCTTCTGGTGTGTAGTGGCTTTACTGACTTAACTCATAGGCACTGAGATGGACACAAGGCTGTAGTAATTAAAACTTCCTGGGTCATTTCATGCTGGTTTCATGAGGTCAGTGAGACACTTTTCACTGATGAGATTTTACTACGCTTTGTGTGTGGTAACATATTAATGTAAATCAGCCTGGTTCTGCTAGCGTAAATGCTGTGGCTGCAGTTGACCCAATTCAGGAGTCTCGTGTGATCTGGCTCACTCTGCAGTGCAGCTGCCCAAACACTTACTGTGAGAAAAGGCAGTGCATGAGCTTACCATGCATCAGCTACTCTCCTGTAGTTCGAGCCATGCCTGCCCTTGTCTTGCAGCATTTTATGTTTACCGTGGGTACAGGTAGTTGGCACAGGATAGCTAAATGCTGTAAAGCAGTACGCTACTGCTAGTGATTTATTCAGGTATCCACACCCTGCAGAGGTGTTAATGGCAACACAAAAAGGTTAGTGGGCATCTGTGTTCATCCTGTGGTTAATACTGGTGTAGTAGCGTTGGGTGTATTGTGGCTTGACTGGAATCCTGTTGGAAACTTGCCTCTGTAGGCAAGACCAACAGGATGATACTCTGTGTCCATGTCTGATGTGTTTGGATGTTAATATAAGTACACTGTTAGAAAAACTTGTGAAATGCATGTACCATCAAAACCAGAGCTAACAGATCTTCATGAGAAGATCTGACTGATTTCCATATCCAAATAGTTAATCGCTAACTCTGCATTTCCCAAATGGGAGAGACTGGAAAAATAATATTAAGCAGGGAGATCAGCTACAGACAAAAATGTTCAACAATAACCTGTAGGGAGATTCGTGACAGTCTGTCACTGGAAATTAAATAGTGGTTTGGACAGAATCCCTATCACGAGAAATGCCTGTATTGCTAAGTGTACGCATACCCTGTTCTTACGCAGTATGGACTGAGGCTGTGGAGTGAGATGGTCTCACTTGCTGCAACAGTTATTAGGGTGGAAGTGGGAAAATTCTGCTGTTCTCTCATATACACAAGGAACTGGAGGGAGAGGAGGCACATGCCTCTCTTCTGTGTGTACATACTTATTTGTGGATTTTTACGTACTCATTTTATACCTCCTCTATGTAGAAGTTCTCCCTGAAATATGCTGATGTTTCTAGCTTAGAAATGTGAACCAGAGTGATGTGGTATCTGTTTATTTCTGGTGCATTTCCTGGGAGTCTAGATGATACGCATGATACATCTTTCACCTTGGCAGAAGTGTTTAATAGTTAACCAAGGTTGTCTTTTACTTCAGCATCTAGGAATAGGGGACTGCAGTTACAAACTTGTAAAACTGTGTTTTTGCTAAGAGGAGTGCTTGGAAAGAGAAAGGCATAGTATTTCCGGAAGGAATAGGCCTCAACTGCAACAGAAGACAAAAGACTGTTTTAAAAATTGATCAAGTTCAGCACAGGTTACAGTGAAATAGAGTAGTCCTTGCTTAAATAGGATCACACTTAAGCTCAGTAGTTAAAGCAGTGACTTTTGAATCAGTGTGGGTAAATTGTGCGATTTGCTGTGTCCATGCACTTCTTTTGTCAGGTTCTCACGCCAGGCTGTCAGTGATTTTTCCCATGAGGAGCAGCATGTCAGGGGTGCTGTCATGTTACCTCCTGTTTACTGATAAAAATGGTCTACTAACCAGTGAAGTGAATTCACTGGCTCCCAGTCATGCATGCTTTTTGCTGGAGTAATTTTTTAGTAGCTGTAGATTCCTCCAGGTTAGATGAGGATCATGTTTCCAGAATTGCCTTTAGTTACATTTATACCACTGGGAATAGTTCCCATTACTGATGGCAAACAAGCCTGAGCGGCTTGCTGTCCTGCTTGGAAACTTAGCAGAGCTTTTCAAGAGAAAATGTAGAAGTTAAAAAGACTTAGCCCAAACCACATCTTTTTTTGTGAGCCTTTAAGAGATCTGAGCAGCATCTGTTGTACAAATCTGATACATTGCAGGTTGGGGAAGAGCTGTGTGTGTTGCTGTTTCCCGTACTCGGTGGGTTTTTTACCAGCCTCAAACTAATTGTATGTGTCTTAATGAGGTGTGTATTTGTTAATCTCCTGTCTTGATGGGCTTGTACAGAACCTCAGCAATCTATAGAAATATGCCTACTGCCAGAATGCTGTAGTCTTGCAGATAAAAAAGATGTACTACACCTTTGAAAATCCAAACAAACAAGGAAAAAATACTGGGGCTTTTTCATGGTTTTAAAAATTGTTGGTGTAAAAATAATAAGAATAGAGTAATTTCAGTAGAATTCAGGTGCCTGTGGGCTAGAGAGCTGGAGATTACAGAGAAAATGAGTGGGCACATACTGCTTTCAAGTACTTACTCTCTTGGGCTGAAATCTGTAAGCTAGATTTGCTTTTAGATACCTAGTTTTGATGATTAATGTATAGGCTTTCCACCCACACGGACAGAAAAGGCCTGCTAGGAAACCGTGCCTGCAGTGACTCTGTGCCTGCCTCTTGCAGATGCGGACGACCCGCAAAGTATCGGTGTGGCCCGTGGGATTGGTAGGAGGACGAAGGTACGAGCGCCCGGTCGTGGAGAACGGCAAAGTGGTCGGCTGGTACACGGGCTGGAGAGCTGACAGGCCCTTTGCTATTGACATGGCAGGTGAGTCTTCCAGCACCTAAAGGGGGCCTACAGGAAATCTGGAGGAGGACTTTTGACAAGGGCATGTAGTGATAGGGCAAGGGGGAATGGCTTCAAACTGAAAGAGGGGAGATTTAGGTTAGACTCTAGGAAGAAGTTCTTTCCTGTTAGGGTGGTGAGACACTGGCACAGGTTGCCCAGAGGAGCTGTGGCTGCCCCATCCCTAGCAGTGTTCAAGGCCAGGCTGGAGGGGTTGGAGCAACCTGGTCTAGTGGAAGGTGCCCCTGCCAGTGGCAGTTGGGGGTGGAACTGGATGATCTTTAAGGTCCCTGCCAACCCAAACCATTCTGTGATTCTATGTACCAAGTCTCATGACACAATGTATTGTATACAATAAACATGAGAGAAATATTCATGTTTCTCTTAAGTTTGATTACTCAGTGTAAGCAGCTTTTAAGACCTCTGTAGTTGTTGTGCCTTTCAGCACTACGCATCTGGGATTTCTCAGCTTGCACACCTCATCTAATCCAGTTGCTGTTTGGTAATGTCTGAACTTTCACTTGTTTTTAATTTTATACACCAACTTGGTTTTTATGTTGTCTACATTTTTTTGTCTTAAACAAATTAATTGTAAATTAATTAATCCAATTAATTTGTGCAAGGAGCTCCTGCCTTTTCATTGTGTCATCAATCAACACCAGGCAGTATGAATGCAGGCCCTTCTTGGACCTGATGTTGTAAAATGCTACTTTATCATGAAATTATTTGCTTTTATCGGTTATTTGGAATGACAGTGATAACTGTAGATAGACAGAGTTTGAAACACTGGGCTTAGGGGAAAAACATCACTACAGCTACAGTCTAGTAGATGAAGGTGGAAAAGCTTCAAAATGGATCTAATCAATCTTCTGTTGTGAAGTTAGTGTACCACATAGCTGCCTGGCTCTCCATGCTTAGACAACCTTTTGCATATATTCATATCTGCCATACGTATCACAACTGTACAGAAGTCCGATTCCTGATGTAGCAGCAGCTGGTTTCCCAGCAAATGATACAGTATTTGCACTTAGGTATCTTCTAAATGCACCATTCAGGATGGAGAGGGAAGGGGGGAAAGGTAGGAATACAAGGGCAAGAATGGGTTTGCAATAGCTATTTTCTTTTTTTTCTGATCCTTTTATGTTTTGGGAGAGGGAAAAAGACAGTGCTTTCTCGTTTCGACAGAATATTTTTATATGGATTGAAATGTTTGATTAAAAATACATACAGTATTTACAGTACAATTGGTTAAAAAGAGTAAAGGAGAACTAATAGCTGTTAACACTTCAAAGACAGAAACATCAACAGGGGATTTTTCCTGCACTGTAGAAACATTTCAAGTTAATAGTATCACCTGGCGTGAAAATAAGTATTTGAGTGTTCAGAGGCATTCCTCAGGGGAGTAGGTATGTCAGTCCCCAAACCTGTGCAGCCTTTCGAGGACTGCAGCTGTGTATTTGAACAGTCTCTGCCTGTGGATTTATGTACATATTGCTACTATGCTGTAGAAGTGGTTACTTATGGGCATTGTAAAGATGATAGCATGGTTCATAATTCATTAGCAGCAGGCAAAAACCCATTACACAACATTGGCCAAGGGACTCTAACCCAGACATGGAAATATGCATGGGAAGTTCTTAAGCTGTTGTTTACAGTGTGCAGTTGCTGGCTGGAACACTGGTGTGAGGGAAATGCAGGTCCGTCAGAGAATTGCCTGCTCATACTTTTACCCAAGTCACAGACAGGAGGGTTACAGAGACAAGGATACAGCCTGGAGAGTACAGGAAAGTGTTGCAGATCCACAAACAATGAATTACGGCTTTGTGAGGGAACCTGTATTAGTCTTCAGAAAAATAACTGAAGGAATGAAATGACATTTTTAATTTCAGCAAGGAGAGCAGGGGATACTGTGTAGGCTGGCAAAAAGCTATGTTAAATAAGTTCACACCTTCATTCCCCCCAGGAACATGGCAGAAGACAAACAGAACCTGTAAATCCAGAACTGCATCCGTGTCGGAACAGGTGCAGTGTACAGAATGTGTGTTCACACTTGGTTTTCTATCTCTGCCCTCCCTGCCTGAATCCCCAACATACTCCCGGGGACTTGAAGGACTTGCTAGCAAACATGAGTCCATGCTGTGGTACATCACTGGCGTTTCTTCATCTGTTAGAATCAAATAGACAAGCAACTTAGGTTATGCCATATGCTGTGCATAGGGAAGATTAAGGATCAGTTTTGAAATTATTACCATGAAAAAACAAAATAGGTGCATATATGAAACTGCTGAGCTGCCTACAGCTGTTTACCATGAATGTTCTGATGCCCAAGGCACTGGTAAGGAGGCTCCCTTTGGTTTACAGAACTATCTTTTCATAGTGATTTTTACGGGGATTTGATCATTGGGCTGGGTGTGAAAAGAACTGCTTAGAAGGTTTGGAAGCACTGATTTAACTTGTGGCTGTTCAGAGGAAGTGCATCCTTGCTTTTAAGCACATAAACTTCTTCTTCTAGACTTCAAAATAGAGAGCCAAATTCAACTCTACTGCAAGTGGAACCAGGTCCTGCTGATTTCACTGGGACCAGCTCAAAGAACCTAGCTGGCCAACTTCCCTAGATGATTCTCTGAAATACACTCTCACAGAGCAATCACACTAGATCAGTTTAGTAAAAACTGGTTGACACTGCTGTTCTCCAGTGCTGAACTTCATTCTGAAAGCGAAGTAGTTGTTTCCTGTGTAGCTTCTTGTCTGGCAGCCAACACACCAGATGAATTAGCTCAGGTGTTTTTTTATGTAAGTTCTGCTTCAGTTTTAACTGTAGGTGGGTTCTGAAGTTTGACACAGACTTCCTTACCTTCAGGGAAGAAAAGTGAGAGAGAGTTGAGTGTTGGAAGCAAACAGTAACACTGATTCTGAGGTAGGCTGTTGTTTATTATGGATCTGATTTTAAATCTTCCATATTAAATGATGCTGTTAGTGATTTACTTACGGCTTGTTCCCAAGTGCTGGAGCTTTTGGCCACCCATGAGAAGTTAGATCGTGATTCTCCTAATGCCAAGATGGTTCAAGGAAAACAGATGCATGCTTTGCATTAGCATTCAGGAGCTACTTCAGTCGTAGAGATTAACCCATGCCTGTGAACTACCGGCTGATCAGATTTTGGACTTATGGTCCAGAGCCCATCCCCTGTGCCTTAAGTTCCTGTGCTAGGATCTGAGCCTTTTTCTGGAGATTTTGCTATATTTACAAGATCTTTAGTACATCATCTTTCTTACAGTTCCCTGAGAAAAAAGCTTGGTCTATTAATGACACTGTAAAACATGGCATATTTTATCTGAATCTAGAAGAGCCACTGCTGGAGGTCACAAGTACAAACAACAAATTTGAGTGTCTATGGCAGACATTACACTCAAAACCCCCTCCCAACCATCCCTCCATCAAAGGGTAACAACTATTTTAAATGCTGAGTTTCAAATCCAGAGCCTCTTCCGTGGTGAATGTCAGCAAACGCTTTCATTCTGGTTGAGCCTCTTTGCCTTACTGCAACCCAAAAAGTATGTCACAGGGAGCAGGTAACTTGAAAGAAGCACACCCCAACCCGTGGCATGTTCAGCACACCAAGGGTAGTACTTTGAACTGTGTAGAAACCAGTATATAGGTTTCAGCATCCGCACTAAGCATTAGCATTTATACACTCTGGACATGATAAACACTCTGTTCCTAGCTTGCCTTCAGCTACTATCCTATCTAGAGCATTCGGGAAGCAAAGACATTAATCACAGCAACAAAATCTTTAAAAACCAGCTCAGTCTAACCGGATAAAGAAGAATGGTTCTGCCTTTTAACAGATGCCATTGATCTAACACAAGCCAAGGTGTGAATTAACAGAAACAGCTTCTGTAGAAAGAAGCACAGATGTAATCTTTGCCCTGTCTCCCAGGTATCTTGTCCTCCAACAAATTAATTCTTACCTAGGTGGCTCGTCAGCCAATTAGATTTAATTTACAGCCTTGCATAAACCACAAAAACCCTAAAACACTTCCTCACACTACAGCTATGAAATTTTCCTATGGCATTTTGTGTAAACTTAAGCCCAATATGACCTTGTTAGGGATAATGATCAAGTGAAAGAATTACACGTGTGTAGCACTGCTCAGTTATGCTACACTGGAGGCAGTAATCCCAGATTAAGCTGTTTGGGGATAGAATTCAAAATAAGCATCTTTTCATCTGTTACCAGGATCATTATCTACTGAGAGAAATTAGTGCCAGACTGTCAAAACCTGAGCCGTCTCCTCTTTTTTTGATGCTAAAATTATCGGTCTTTGATAAAAAGTCAACTGAAAGTTGTCCCTGGAAAATGGTTTTCCCTCAAGTCCATCTGAAGTCTGTCAACAATAAAAATATCATACATGTGAAATTAAAGCAGTGATAAAGCAGAGCTGAAGAACCAGAGACAGTGAGTTTCCTTGAGTTATATTCTCTCTCCAGGTTGCTGCTTTATTAGATTCTTTTAAGAAACAAAGACTGCATGACCACTGATCAAGGAACCAAACCTCAGGCCACAGTCCAGCCAGTGCACAGTAGTCCATGTCCTCGCCACATGCAATACACAGTTTAATAATTTGACTTCTATTTGATGCCTGAAAACATGGGAGACTTTTGACAGCACCCTAAAATGTTGGTTTGCAATAGCATTGCAGCAAGGGCACGTTACATGCAGGGAGAATGGTGCAGCTGAAGATCTCTGCATAGTAGAAATCCACCCTTGGAACAGAACCCAGTTTTCTCAACAGAGGCTTTGCAAGTACCAAGTGTAGGAGAAATTAATGTATGGATAAGTATGGGCTATAGGGACCAGGGAGCCATGCTGAGACAGCAAAGATAAGCAGCAGAAAATCTGCATGTCTCTTTTGCTTAGACTGGAATTCCTTCACCACTCTAAAAACTAGGACTCTACATTAATTTTGGTGCTTACTTAATTTTCTTCTTATTGGATGATGTCCCAGGCTCAGCTTAAATCAGGAGAGATGACCAGCTTAAATCTTAAACTTTAGGTATTTTTAAAAAGAAATGGCAGCTCACACAACTGATCTGGGCTACAACAATGCCTTCCCGTCCAAAGCAGACATTAAGGTTTTTGTGCCCAAAATACCAACGACACTAAAGCCCAGTTGCAAAATTTATAACTTGTTCTAATTGAGGGAAAAAAACAAACCCAAACCCTAAACAGAAAGACTGAACCAGGCCAATTTGTTCATCAGTCATAAGCCTACAGAGTCATCTCTCAAGGTGTAGACAGCTGGCTTTGCTCTGCAGCTGTCTCTTGCTGAGGGAATTTAAACTCTCAGCCTCAGCTCTTCACAAGCAATTACACTTGGCTACAAAGAGCGCTGGGACAGAGTGCACCCTCTGCTCCATCATAGCCAGGCTATACACATTGTAGGAGGCAAGAAAGGCCTACAGCCTGCTGAGGAGAAATGCTTACCTGGGAAGCAAAGCCCAAAGTGCTGTTCTTCTGCCTGACACCACTTAGCTCAACCCAGCAGCTGCAGCAGGGAACAGCTGGATCCCAGCACTGCTGCTGGCGGGTGGGGCAGTCTGCAGAGCTTAACCACAGGGGGCAAGGACAGGCTGCCGCCAAGCCTTGTACCTTCTGCAAGTCTTTTATTCACCAGAGGACTCTATGAGCCGTGGGTAAGCCCCTTCCTTCTAGACACCTGCTCTTCTTTATCTTATAGGTTATATCCTTCCTAAGGTTAAACATATTTTTTGCAACTATGTCCATCAGTGAACTGGGACCTCAGTTTACATCCAGCCTTCTGCTAGTCTTCATCTGCTGTCTCCAGATCTTTAAAAAATGTTAAAAAAAGCATTTTCTGGTGTCTTCCTGTGCTTTGTTACAAGCAAGCACATGATTAAAGTGGTTTCCCTATGCCTTCTTTACATGTGATGTAGTAAGTACTCCCTCATATTTTCCTCTTTAAAAGGTTCCCATAAAAGCCACTGAAAATACAGTAACAAGATAATTCTAGTAAAAAAGGGGGCAGATTTATATTCCATTACAGAAAGTTATGCTTATGTGTAAATTGAGAAAATTTTAATACTGGCTTTCGAATTGAATATTCTTACAGTTTTCCAGAACAGATGTCAAAATTGTTACTACTTTTGTCATAAAGAGACAGCTGGAACAACACTGAACTGACTCACAAAGGATTTTGTTGGTAGGCTTGACAATTAGACATAAGGAGTTAGTTCCAAATCTATTTTTTCTTTACAAGTGTATCACTCAAGTTTTGAGTCATACCTGAAGAAGTGTACACGTGACTGAGCATTGCTGAATGAAAACTGGAGAGTACTATAAATAATGGCAAACTGGAGATTGATGGGAGCTGCCTCAGAGGGGGCAAGTTTGCTCAAACTAGTCATTTCCCAATTTGTAATGTCCCCCCAAAGGGCCCTAATGTATGTTACTAGTGGAATGCATGGCAGAAATGCATGTGTGCTGATGAAGTCCTTCCAGTCGTGCTGTGCAGTGCACGTTATCAGTTGATTGTCTTGCAGACCACCGATGAAAATGATTCACAAGTCTACAGTAACTACACAGTGTGCAAGGCACAAGATTAATATGGTTTGTCTTTCATCAGTGATAGTATTAGAACTCTAAAGACAAATTCCCTAAAGGCTAGAGCTGTTATAAGTAACATTCTAACCTCTTTTTCCAACTCTCACCTTCAAATGCAGGAGGGCTAGTACAGTATGTATTTCATACATTTTATTTTACTTAAAATTTGGGTTTATTTCTTATTCAGAAGTAGAGAGGAAGGACATTCCAAGATCTTAGCAATACCTGACTTTTCAAGCAAAAAAGCATATATTCTCCACATGACAGGACATTGATTAAACATGTTGAAAATATGGTGCAATTAAAAAAATCCGATTGCACCTTCAGGGCAAAACAAAACAATGTAGGATGTACAAAACCTACCAAATACTATCTATCCCTATAATCAAATTTAGTCATGTTAAAAAAGGATATGGGAGAGGTCTAGGCTGAAGCACAGCCTGCACAAAAATGCAAAGCCTAAAGGTTTTTCTTATCCTTTTTCTCCACCAAGGATTTGCTGTGAGTCTTCAAGTGATTCTGTCACATCCGAAAGCCGTATTCAAGCGGCGCGGTTCTCAACCGGGAATGCAAGAATCTGATTTCCTGAAACAGATAACGACAGTGGAGGAACTGGAGCCAAAAGCAAACAACTGCACAAAGGTACTGATTTTCACACTTACTGAAGAGCTTTTGGATCATCTCTGTAGATGCCTGTACTAACACAAGTGTTATTTTATAGGTTCTTGTATGGCACACGCGAACAGAAAAAGTAAATCTAGCTAATGAGCCAAAATACCACCTGGACACAGTCACCATTGAGGTATGATGCAGAGATACAGTTACAGAGAAGTACAGTACAGTGGATGTGTCAGAAGGTGTTTCAATTCATCCAGTTAAAACAGTCTGCTTCTATGTCTGATGGACTCCTGTGGAAGCAAAAGGAAGCTGTCAGATACTCTAATAAGCAAATCAAGTGGGTGTGCTTCATTCTAACTTGTTTGCATGCATTTCTGAACTCTTGTCTAAATAGACTGACACTTACCTTTGTTTTAAGGCTGTTTCCACATAGTAAAAAGAATCTAAGAGAAATCTGGCTGCACTGGAGTATTTTCAAAATCACCATTTATGTATATACTTTTTGTATTTATCCAGCTTAATGGTGTAATTATAAACTGATTTTAACTCACGAACTGCTGATTTAAATATCTGCATAAATGGATCCTCCTCCAAACTGAACATGTTTTCCTTCATTAAAAGTAGACTTCTTGAAGAAATAGCTGTCAAGTAGGTGACACAACAATGAAATAAAAATGCACAACCATTTATGGATTTATCCTTTTAATATTGGGAAATAACATTTTATCATTACGAGGCACCATAAAATGTAAACACAAATCACTGTCATAAACCTGGATATCTCTGCAAGGAAAAATGTATGTGCTCACGCCGAGGTACCTTGTGCACATACTGTGCTGTCAGTTCTCTGCATTAATACTGTGTACATGCCTCGTGAGCCAGATTGGAAACTTTGTCACAGCTCATTTTTAAAAGAATAAACTATTGATTTGTAGAACTACAGTAACATCCAGGTTTACCTTCCTTTCCATAAGCATATTCCCTGTTATGCACACCATAGGAACATCACAGTGAAATGTAAGATGAAACAAAATTTGTTTGATACACTAGAAAACATTGCTCAGTGATACATTTACATTCTATTTATATATGATTAAACATTTGTTCATACAGTACCTTCTACAGGATTACTGGGTAATTTTTGGGGGGGTTGGGGTCAGGGTTTGTATTTTTGGATATTACTAACATGATAGCTACGTCCCTTATATGCAAACATTTGATCTAGAACTTGGAGGGGAAAAAAAACAGTATGTGGTTAAGCAGCTTCTTAAATACATGGTCTATGAAATCATATGCATTGTATGAAAATGCTGCCAATGATGTATAAATGTATTCTTGATCTGCTTTTCACTACATCAAATTTAAATCAATATAGACCACAACACGGTCAGTCAGTTATATTCTTAATCTGAACAGCTGGGGGGAAAAGAAAAAGAGTATGTATATGGAAGGAACAGTGAAAGTAAATGCATTTGAACAAGGAATGTTAGGTGGCTGTTCTCGGTGAGACTTCTGTTGCAACTTTCATTTCCACAGTTGTGTGCTGAGAGTCTGACCAGAGGAGCTTCCAGTCCATCCTGCTGCTGTGCTGGGGGGCTGGCCAAAGCCCATCACATTGCTGGAACTGCTGAGGTTCATTCCAGCCATTTGCTGATTCATCTGGGAAGCACACAGACACACACAAGTACAGTTAGTGCTGGTGCTGAAACATGACACGCTGTGAGCCACAAAGCAGTCAGTCATTCCTCCAACTAGCAACCCTGCTAAAGTATGTTTTCCTAAAATTCATAAAACATTGACTCAATGCAAGTTTCTCAGCATTTTTCAATATAGCAGCTTTTTCTCAGTCACCATTACACATCAGCTGACTGGCTGTAGCACTTGATGTCTGACATCAAGTCTGAATAAACACTCCACTAGCAAATTTACAGAGTGTGTGACACAGGAAGGAGTTTGATGTGTCCCAGCTGAGAAGATCTTGCTTTCCAGTTTTCAAAGCTAACCAACAAAACTGTGATAAAGAAACACCAAAGTAAGTAATACAGCCTTGTCTACATCTGCAACTCCAGATGTTTTTTGTTCTAGCAATATTTCTTTGGAGACCTCATAATCTTGACTGCATGAGTCTTTACAGAAATGTCCATTTAGGTGGCAACCAACAAAGACTGAGGTGGATTTATAAACTTGAATATTACCTAAATTTAACCATTCTTGCTAAAGAATCTACTCAAGATACCATCATTTTTCAAAACAAGTGAAATCGTTAACATCAAATTAAAGACAACACCTAGTTAAAGGTTGGAAAGAGTTCAAAATTCAACCAACTCACTTCAGGAACGGTGCAAAAGTTTTTCTACTCTCTACAAATATTATCTAGTCACTGTAGTTTTCAGTGCTTAATGTAAAAGTATTCTTCAGGTTAATCTCCCTTGCCTTCTGAAAAATTAATGCCTACAGACAAGCCAGAACCCAGCTGTATAGACAGAAGAGATGTTCAGCAAAAAGGCATTTGGAGCAACTAATGACCAGAGTCGATGGTTTGGATAAGCAACACTAGATTCAAATTAGAGATAGCATTAGGTAAAAAACAGAGTTTCTGTAAACATAAGCAAACAATACTGGGTTCCAAAAGGAAACTGGTGGAAAAAAATTAAGTAAATGCAAACTAATGTTTCAGGGTAAAGCTCATCCCTGTGTGGTTCTACACGTGTACCTGCAAAAACAATCCATTATTGAACATGGACATTTTAAAAAAGCTGATGAAAGCATGCTTTAGCTAGTTGTTAATCTCTTCTGGAGCACAATTCTTAGGAAGCAGACTCTATAAAGCACACTATGCTAATTGGCAAAGCAAGCTCTCCCCCTTTCAACTGAGCTAGAGCTTAGATCACAGTTCCCCTACAGACTGGAGGATGTCAGCATGCTGGTAACACCTGATGCGCCAGGAGTACGGAAACATGTAAGAGCTTGTTCTCTGAGCCAACCTTTACTATGTACTTAATAAGAAGCATGATTTTCATTTCAAAGCTGATGCAGGTCTTTTTAAAGCTACATACCTCAAAAAAGACTTAGCAGTAAATCCACAGCTTTTTTTTTTTCAGTTTGACATTTTGAAATTCTCACCTTTTACAAACTACTTTTCAAAGCAGAATGACAGCCTGGTTTATCCATGTAAGAAATCCTGCTCACCTTCATAAATGTTCACACCACAGGACTGAGCAGAACAGTAAAAATTAACATAAACCAGTCCGAGTAAGTCACTAAGGTTCACTCCCTGAATTACCAGAGTAAGCAGCATGGAATTATTATATTGTTCTCATAATTCAAACGATAGTATGACAAAAATAGTTGCTATCATCCACACTGAACTCTGAAGGAATCGTTTAGGTTTGTTCCCCTCTTCCCCAATAAACTCTCAAATACCCGATTTCAAGATGTTTCATTGGATAATGTACAAATATAGTATACTAACTAACACTAGCATATGAGTAAGAGTACACTAACACTTCTAGAGAACCTCTTAAACATGTTTAAGAAATTTAAGAACATAGCACAGAAATGCTACAGATAAATAATAGATTAGCCTAAGCAAATTATTTACAGGAGAAGGTTAGAGAGCCCAGCACTCCACATTCCCCTGAAATTTATCTTGAAGCCTGCAAATGAAAGTACTGACTGTTAATGGCTGTTCTCAAGCAATTAAATTTTGCTTTTATTTACAAGGCAGTGATTATATTTCAGTATTTTGTAACTACAGCTAAGCTAGTTTTGTACCTGTCTAGTTCAGATGCCAGGGTGAGAGCAGCTACAGAACCTGGGCTGACTCTGCTCTACTTTGGCAACATTTATTCTCTGCTTAACTATCAGTTATCTTCAATTGAATTATCCACTGATTTTTTAACACGGTCCTCTGAGCAGTTCCTAGCAGTCTGTAACTTGGCCACACCGCTGCCTTCCTCCTACAGCCTACATTGTGTATCTGCAAAGCAGCGTCGTCTCTAAAGCACTCTTGTCTGGGAACAGCAAGTCTTTACCTGAGAGAGGTTCCATTGAGCTTGCTGGCTTTGCTGCAATCCATACTTATTTTGTGGCGTGGCCATCTGTCCCACCATTCCACCTTGAGGTCCAACAACATTTTGAGGAAGTCCCATCACACCAGTTTGCGTAGTACCAGTAAATCCATTGGGCATTCCCATTCCTACCATCACGCCTGTGCTCTGTCCCATGACTGGCACTGATTGTCCCATCATGTTTCCCATCATCCCAGTTGCTGCAGGCACAGGGACTCCCATGGCTGGAAAGCCTTGAAAATGAGTTGGTGGTTGTGTGGTAAATGGTATAGAAGATGACCCCATGAACATACCTGCAGTAGAGAAGGGAAGATTTCAGCAAAAGTGTTTTGTGATGTTCTCCCTCATCACCTAAGTCCGAAGTGTACCACACTAATTTCAAAGGATAACTTTGTCAGGTTGTACATCAAAGCTGTAAATTTAGTTCCTGGTAAAAGCAAAAAACTGCTTAAAAACTCTCAAAGGTGACTTGTCACCATAGGTTAACTACCAAAAAGAGTCTAGCAAATTCCTCTGGTCAACCAGAAGCTTTTAATGGCAGTATTGGAGATCTTTGCTTTCCTACCAATGGAGCTGAAATCAAGATATGACCTCTGTCCTGATCCTGGCAGTCTCTTTGCACAGTGGAGACTCACTCCTCAAGCAATGAATTAGAGAGCAGAAGCTGCATTCACAAGCCTTTCAGTAAACTGTGTACTTGATAATTTGAACAGCTATAAATAAAATCACACACTGCTTTGTTTTTCTTTAGCTTCTGTATTACATTTCAGTACCTTTCTCATTTTTATAACTGATAAAAATCTCCATTTTAATATAGGCAGCAGGTAGCCAACTGTAGTTTTACACTTGTAGTAGATAACTATTGTAGGTAAAGCTTACAATAGGACCATGTAGAAAGCTTTGCAAAATTATTTACCAGGAGCATTTTGCTGCTGCATGGTTCCTGTGCCATACAGTGACAAGATGGAGTCTTTGGAGAGCTGTTTCTTGGCTGACTCTTCGGATTTTGTTGTTTGCTCAGTGAACAGATCAAGGTCCCCGGGTGCCGCAGACAAGGTGGCAGCTGCTGGTTTAGTGGAAGTGCTCTGGGAAATAAAGGTCAAGACAGACTACTGAATGAAACCTGCTGCAGGTGGGACGTTAAATATTTACTACACAGCCTCACTCCTGAACCAGGTTAACCCCAGTTCATCTACAGAAGTTAACTTTAAGTAAATAAGGATTTAAAAGTAAATGGTATGACCAAAGATGGAAATGCAAGACATATGATACAGAAGAACCACCACACTGAATGGAGGTTACAAGGAAAACTAAATCCCCAACCAGCTCCAGTGTGTACACATACAGATTATTAATTCCTGTTGCTCCGATGTTTTTCATCAGTGAGAAGCATAAATCATGAGCTGTAGTTAGATTATGAAAAATAATTAGGAAATCACAAGGAGATTGCAATTAACATCTCATTAATCCTCATGTAGGCAGAATAGATTAAAGAAGAGCTAAAACAAAAGATGGAGTGGTCTGAAATAAACTACTACAACAAGAAAAACTATTTTTGGAGAAAGGGCAAAAGTAAAGTTTTGGTTGATTTACTTAAAGTAATAAAATTTCTAAAATACATAATTTATAATTGGCTTAAAGTTCCTTAAGCACATTGCATTTATTGAGAAGGCCTAATTATCTGGAGTCTTCAGTACAGGAAAGACATGGGCCTGTTGGAGAAGTCCAGAGCAGGGCCACAAAAATTAGAGAGCTGGAGCACCGTTCCTATGAGGAAAGGTTGAGAGAGCTGGGGTTGTTCAGCCTGGAGAAGAAAAGGTTCTGGGGAGATCTCAGAGCAGCCTTTCAGTTCTTAACAGGGGCCTATAAG